TAGTTACAATGTTTTTTTTATTGCATAAAATTTTATTTGTAAGGGTCATGTGACATTGAAATGTGATTTCATGCCATCAATCTGGCATTAATTTTTACCCACAGAACAACGTGTTGTTGTGTAAAACAAAATGAATCAACCAAATTCATATATTCATTTCTAAAGGAAAATGTTTTATTCTATATACTATAGAATACTTGCTAGTGCTATAAATGAATTTAACTTTCACAAATGTTGCTTGCTGAAACGAAGTAGGTTACATCACAAGGCATCACCACTCCAACCAGCAGAAATCATTTTATACAATCGCAGGAATATTTTTATAAAAAAAAACGTAATTTTTCATGACGATAAAAATTGAGTACAAAAGACTTTTAAATACAGGATAGAATAATAATGCGCAAAAACAGAGTGAACAAGAGCATAGAAATAAATTTAAGATCGCCGATCGAAGATGCTGGCACAAAACATCCGGTTATTAGATTAGTCACGTGTGTCAGGCTTATTTATTATCCACAATAAATCAAAGGTTAAATTTAAATAACTATTCTATGAAAACTCATTTTTGTCTCGATGTTAAGCAACGCCATATATGTTAAACAACGTCATGTATGTTATGTGACGTCATATACGTTATGAGACGTCACATGTTACGCAACGTCATTTTTACCATTTGCCAAGATTTGTAGAATACCGGTACATAACTCTTTCATTGTTTCCTTTCCATCAATTTGTTGGTGGTTTCGATTCAGTGCGGCAGCACCGGCCAAACAAATGTGTGATATTTGGAACCAAAATCTATTTCCGTTGGGTTGCAGGCCAGGTCAGGAAGAAAGAAAGACAAACTGGAAGAGGAAAGCTGGACAATCTGCCAAATATTGTTGGATAACGTAACAGAATGGACTGGGTTGGAAATGTTAAATTCAGCTTATTCAAAGATAGAAATTTATTTTGGAAATCGGTAAAAAAAGTGGACGCTGACAACCTGAACGGTTCTTTGAATGATTTCACGTAGCCAGTTACCAAATCTCACAGCAACGATGGATACCTATGTACCTACATGTTGTATAAACAAATTTTCTATTTAAAGTTAAATTATAAGTGTTATTATAAACAATCTTGCAATATCATCGTATAGCAAAATGCTTGTCAATATAAAAAAAACAAAAACAAAAATTTTTTAAAGAATAAAATGCAAAAGATAAAATGGTGATTTAATTCGTTTATTATGAACAAACAATAAATTTGTTACATAATGTGGCATTCCAAAAGAGTAAATCTTAACTATAAGCGGAATCCCCAACATTCAAAAAAGTAATCCATAAATTCATAGTTCGATTAAAACGATCGGCATAATATTTACAAACTGCTAAACAGTGATATAAGTCGTGCAATAAGTTTAAAAGGATAAAAATTGAAGAGACTTCTATTTATTTGATTATGAACAATTTTTTAATATTAGTTGGTAAAATATTGTCATTTAACATTTTGTAACAAATTCTCAAAAGTGGGTTTATAAAAGATAACCAGGTAGCATAATTTAATTATTTGATGTTATCTTTACCATTCCCCTATTTCTTATTGCAATGTTCAGACTGGACTTCTAATTTATTTGGCCATCTTTAGAACCCGGCCAAAATTAAAATTCCGCTGAGCCTGAGAATAAAGAAATATTTGGCTGAAGAAATTTTTTCCTGACATTCGACATTCGGAACTTCACATAAAACAATAAATCAGTTGCTTAATAATTTTCACAAGCGGTAAATATTTATTGAAAGTTATTATTATAAATTATTAATAGTTATTACTTGTTGTGAAACACGTAAAAATATTTAAGGACAGGACTTGTATTTACATGGAAAATTCATCAGTTCATATTTACAGCTTTTACCGACTTTTTTTAAACACTTACCGAAATTATATAGTGCAAATATAAATTGTTGTATAAGACAAATTTAATTTGTTTCTCCGTTCTGAACCGTCAGCTCTCGATTTAAAATGAGTTGAAATGAAAATGGAACGACAGAAAAAGTTTTGGCAGCTACCATTTTTATACTGTGACCGACCTAAATTGGGCCTGAGATTTTCTGACTGACAATCGGCAATTAATCGACTCCAGAGACAGCTCGGGAGTCTGGTGGGAATCGTACGACCGAAAATTTTGCGTGAAATATTGACCAATCAATTTGGAAGCCAAAATAAAAATTATATAAAATGATCAAAATGATGGAAAAAGAAAAAAAAACAGATACACTTTTGCGAAAGCACAAACATCCTCTCCAAATTTTTATTACATTTCGTTTCTTCTCATGCATTCTACGTCATAAATCACTTGTTCGATCAATTATTCTAAAAATAATTTTTCTATTAGAGATTTGTTACACTTGGTTCGACTTTAACTTTTAAATAAATCTTTCCTGCCTCTTTTGACTGCACTCTTTCCACTCATTGGACAAATCGTTCTTATATGTATTATTCTTTCAATATTTTTTTGTTAATCTTTGAATATCGATATACCAACAAACACCGATAACAAACTAGAGGTTGTGTTAATTATTTGGCCACCAATAAAAACAAGACAATCTTTAAATATAAGGCACAATAAATTTAAAATGTAACAAATAAGCTAATAAGAATTAAAATTATTAGTTTGTGAAAAATCTTCTTAATTAGTTACTTCAACAAACTGACTCATCCAGATGCATAAAAAACAATGAACGATATCAAGTGATGAAAGATATAATATCAAGAGAATTTGTTAGTTTGCGTTTTTTGTTTGCGACCGATTCACCATTATCAGCATTTTTTCTGTTTCCATCATTTTGATTGCAATCATTTACAGAAGCCGTATCAACATCACTAAGCGCCACCAACAACTCGTCTGTATGCATCGTTTGGTTCCAAAGTTCTGCCATGTTGAATAAATATCAATTTAAAAATTTCTTTATATTTGATTATCATATCATAGAAAATATAGGTCTGTAATTGGAACGAGAAATTTTGCTAATTCAAACAGATATGGTTCATTTACATTTCTTATAGTATTCAAAACTAAAATCTTTATTAGTTATTATTTCTACTCCAGATTATCTAGTGTAGAAAAATTGTCTCAAATACTTGGCAAACTGATGAGTAGGTGTTTTGAAAATAAGAATGTGCTATAACAATTAAAAAGTAAAATTTAGACCCATTTCCTAGTCATCTAGAATAAGTTACGGGTAACACACTACAGTTCAATTCTTACATTGCAATTTCATTATCGCTGTTCCCATACAAAATAAAATTCAGTTTTCTCACTAATATTACTTTAATACAACTGTGAAAATAAGAGTTGAGAATGCACGATGATAACAATGAGAGCTCAAACGAGAATACCAAAGTTAATGTTCACCAAAAAATGCAACAAACATGCTTTTCGAATCTATATTTTTTATCGAAATTTGTAGGTTTTTCAACAACTTTGGTCAGAGATACTAGACAGACTCCCTCTGTTAAGTTGGACTGAACAATGTTGACACTGTTGACCAGAACAGTTTTGGGTTTTGGAACATATAAGGTACTTATATATACGTGACTTATATAAGGTATAAATACAGAATGCTGAGACGTTTTACAATATAATAATATCAAATAAAAATAAAACTGAGTTGAAAATAATATAAAAAATTTTAACATTCACCAAAATTATCTTCCGGAATAAGAATTTTCGAATTATCAGAGTCGACATTCGCTGATATGCTGATGTCGCCTGCCTCCTCTTTATACAGATCATAATTATTACTCTTAGTAATTATAATCAATTATAATTAATTAGAAATTAAAAATAAAATATAAAAAATTTAAATTAATCAAAAAACCATGACAACAATTACGTTTTATTTGTTCAGATTTCTCTTTCATTTTCTGTTGAAACTCTAGTTTTTTCTGCCTCTGCTTCAATTTTCTCATCAATTTCTCATCCTCACTAAACCAGTCAATAAAATAATTAGGCAGTCAATAAAGGACCAACCAGTCCAACACAATCAGCGGAGCAGTCACGCAAGCACCCGGGGACTCTTCATTCAAACAATAACGTAAAATATTGTTAACAAAGCCGCCACAAGAACGCTTAACAATGAAATCTGTAGTGTCATTTATTGTTTTTATACAAATCAAATCATACGATGCAATGAGACGCAATTTCACGGGAATGATGAGCATCAAAATTAATAGGAAAGAATAAACTAATTGAAAAACTGAACAAATGAATGAATAAAGACAGACAGACAGAAACAAACACAGAGAGATAGATGAAGTACTGACCATCCAGTAAGTTCCATAAGTGAGACATCTTCTGTGTTTGTAACACTCAGCGGCATCTTTCTCACCTCACCACAACTTCGACTTCGGGAACTCATATCTCTCGCAAATTTTGAACTACAACTACTTAACAGAGGAGTTACTGATACATCGTGAGCAGCGCTTGTTTGGGCATCGTTTTTTTGACAGGCATCGCTGTTGGTATCACTGACATTGCGTTTTTTGTCTGTTAAGTTGTTACTAGCAATTGCATTATCATGGCTCGTAACGGATTCTAATAAAGCAGAATGATCTGCTTCTATTTTGACTAGAGACACTTTTGAATTGATGCATCTACTTGGAATAACTTTACATGTACCGTCAAGTTCTGAAACGTTACTCAAGTCGTCATCTCTGCTGTCGTTGTAATTGTCGTATGAATTATTGTTGGTGCTGTTGTTGTTGGTGATGGCGGTGTTGGCGTTGTAGAGTCTGCAGGTACCTGCCCGCCTTCTTACGTACCTGCTTTCACTGACCGATGCACTTATGGCTGAACGTTTCAAATTTGACAAACTCAACTGCTCTGTCGGCTGAATATTCAAGCAAGTTAAGTGTTAAGCGGTTAAAAGAAATTATTATGATCAAACAAAAAATGAATCGTCATGCTGGGAGCAATGGTGATAACAACGAAGTTGATGATGATGAAGATGATGATGATGGTACTAAGAGTTAAAATAATGATTACGAAGATGACAAAAATGACGATAAATGCAATTAACCTGTGCAGGCGTCCTGGCTATGAACTTCAGATAATTCATGTCTCCGAGGCAATTTCCTAATGCATTTCCAAAGCTTCTGCAGGGATTTAATTTGATATTCTGATAGTAATTACAAAATTAATTCTATTAAGTCAAATGAATGAACGAATGATAAGCTATTGATCCATGAACTGTTTAAAAACAATATTTAATACTAGTCCACCTTATGCAATGTTTCACAAATGACTAATCAATCTAAATCATTTCACTGAGGAATCTAGGCTAAATCAACAGCTATTTCATCATTGGCTTATTTAAAACAAGCCCATAGTTTAACATAGATTTCAATGCACAATGTGATGGAAATGTGACCGATCCGGTATAAACATTTGCTCAATGATCAAAAGCCTATCTGTTTCGTTCATTGGATTTTTTTTTTTTTGATAAAATAAATAGTCAACTCAAATCCAAAGATAGCATTGAAGAAATGCCAAGAGTGCTGAAGATGACAAAATATTAATACTGTAATAATAACATAAGGACTTATAACAAGTTTCTTAACCAACTTCAAACCATTCTTCAAAGCATTTTCAACGAATAAACCAACTTGAGTGCCCGCTTTAAGCCATCTGTAACTGCTTCCTTACGTGCTTTCTCTACCGACAATGCTTTCGACTTCATACCTTCACTAACTCCGTAACCTATGTCTTCATGATATATTCCATCCTGCAAACAAATCAAAGTAAATTTTCATTTTTCACTTATGCTTCATGACAAACTTGAGCCGTGCAAACAAAACGTTGTTGGCTGTAGTCTTCCTAGCTGGTGATGTACAAGTGTGAAGATTAATAATGATTGCTGAAGCTGTGCAAAACTGAGATGAGGATTTGCAAAACATTTCTTAAAATGTAAACTACACAAAAATTTTAATGGAAACAAAATTCAGAAAGCAAGACAAATTAAACCGGGTATGAATTCGTTAGTCTGATCAAGAGAATAAAGCTGGTGACATTCTGTTCTGTTAACGTTTCATCATGAATGAACATGAACATATAGTGAATTCATAATGAAAAAGTCTTGAAGTGAAAATGAAATCAATATCAGCTTATTTTCTTAAAATTGTATTGTAACAAAAATGGACAAGGATAGCCAGAGTTTCATGTTTCAAAGTGATCATCAAACTAAACAATTAACACAGTAGCAAAAACATTACTAAATAAAAATTAAAGAAAATCAATCACCAAATCATAAATCTACAAGCCGGTGAAGATTTAAAGAATGATATATAAACTTTGCCATGGCTATTCGTGAAAATGTTTACATAAAAAAATATACTTATTGATTTCCAACATTGAAATATCAGATGCAATGTTATGTGCATAATTTAAATGCACCTGTATAACTATCAAAATCAAGCTATCTTGCAAGTGACGGAGAAAAGTCTGTATTATAAGCAAGAGTCTGTGAGTCAGCTCACACCACGCACTTGTGAGTGTATACGAAAAACGCATGTACGTCGTGTGGTGCGGACAACACAGCCTTTGTAGCACAAACGTTTAACTTTCAGTATAGAAAGATATGAAATCAATTTTGCACATGTCAGAGTTTCCTAGCAAAGAACAAAAAATTTAGAAACTTCAAAATATTTACCTTAAGCTGTACTCGAACTATTGCACTCACTCCCACGTAAAACTTTCCATTGAACAAATCAACAAAATCTTTCAAATAAGAAGAAAATTAACAATAATGTTAATTTTTAATCAAAAGAAATGAAAACGAAAAATAGTCACAAAGTTTGAAAAAAATAAGAACAATAGCAATGAATATCAGAGTAAACATAGAAAGACAAGCCAAAAGGCAACTTTTGCTAGAAAATAATTTATACTTTTAATGAGGCTAAATCGTTGTAATTAACAAGAAATAATATCCCAATTCAACAGGTAGCAATTAAAATAGAAAAGAATAATTTCAAAAATAAATGAGACAAAACAAAATGAGACAACTCATTGGTTAGTTAGAATACCTAACCAACAGTCTGATTGACAATGGAATGAGACCACCCATTGAATCCAAATATTTCATTAGCCAGATTAACAAGTTTCCACCCTTCCACATAAGCCAGCTAAATTAAAATTAATTTTATTCATTTTATTTCAACTGCATAATATATTTGTCAACCTGCATCAACATCTTACATAAATTTAAAAATAGTTTTGCAAGATCAACATTTAAAACAGTTTTTTGGTGGAATGTTTGATTCATTTCAAGTATCAACCTCAATAGAAGTGAGATTGAGTAATCTAATCTAACAAAAGTACATCATCATTATTATTATTGTTACCATCAAAACTGTAATAAAACTGTCTACGAAAAATATTTTGTTTTTATTCTACTTCAACAATTTAACTTTGTTATATAAAAAAATCTACTTCAACAATTTAGCTTTATTATATAAAAAAAACTTTCTTCTGCTATTACTAAATTTTACTTATTTCACATTTTGAAAAACCCAGTTATAAAATTTATAAAAAAACCTTGTAAATTTTTATTAAATTTAAATTTAAAGTATGTTCCCATTTCTATGAAAATTGATTTTTAATTATTAAACTTTGTCACATGAATTTCCAACATTATTTTAACACCATTTGTTGTTGAATCAGCAATAAAACAAATTTAACCTTTTGACCTCCTCCACCAGGTCTTTGACTGATAAATTCTGGTCCTAATTTTTGTCTTAAGGCTTCTTGAATTGCTGCATGTTCTTCATTGGTAAATTCTGTCTGAAAATGTAATAACCACATGAAAAATTATTCGACCAAAGTGGAAACTTAGCTATTTAGTTGTGATGCATTTAAATTTTAATTTCAATGTACAAACTTCTTTCAAGTTTAAAAATTAACCAAATGAAACAAATTTCTTTGAAAAACTACTTTGATAATAATTTTTTTAACTTGATTGTATTAAAACTTTAACAGCATAATTTTAAAATTATACTTTATTTATTTATTATTATTTTAATTATTGAAATTGAAATTATTACATTTACTGAATTTTCAATTGTTTTTAATTTTAATTAACTTATTAATCAATTAATTATTTAAAATTAATTTATTTTATCAATTTGTATAGAATTAATTATATTAAATTATTGTTTGTGTAGTTTTTAAATTTTAAAGACGCATCACACAACCATCTAGTCTAGTCTGTCCTCCTAATCATTAGATAAGATTAGAGGACAGACTAGACTACATATATCATATACAATACATATTATCTATATATATATATATATATAATAATTATCTAATCTAAGGCTAATGGCTACTGATCTACTAATCAATAATTGAATAATCATTCCAAATCTAATCACCTCTAATCTAATCGCTAATGTGCTAATACTAATTGCTAATAATCTAATGTTCTAATTTCTAATCTAATCTAAAATAAAATGCGGGATATGTAAACCTCTAAAAATATATTATTATATTATATAATTAGTTAGTACTGTTAGTAGTAATTATAATTATTATTATTATTCTCACTCAGAAAAGTAAAATTTTGCAAAAAAAAATACAATTTTTATTTTACCTGTCCAAAACAAGTATTAACATTAATATTGCTGTTTTTTATTTCATTTGCCATACTTTTTCAGCAATACGAACAAATTAAATCACCTCTGAATTTAAATCGCAACGGGTTGCAACGGACAGCTGATCGGAAAACAGTACATACAAATAAGTATATTGGAATGTATCATGTACATTAGGGTGGAGTGAATTTGACAAAAAATTTTCCTTATTTTTTAATTTCCTGTATATATAATCGATGACCCTATCTATGGAAAAGCATCATACGACTTTATCTTGAGGTGGCGCACCATGAAGGCATTTCATAAAAAAATTTGTATTTGTTCTTTTAACGAGAAAATATTTTTTCAATGCGCTTAAGAACTAATTTGTTGTGGGACAAAGTATTGAAATTAAAATTTTTAAAATGCCTAAAACTCGGAAAGATCTAAAGTGCCCTGTGTTTGGTGATCCCGCAAAACTAAGTGATAATATTTTACCGACATATTGTGATGTGATCAAACACTACTTGTGGATAAGAAATGATATGCTCGAACTCAACAATGGAAAAGATCCTTCAGTCAAAAATTTATGTGAAATGATTGCTACTAACATCGAACAAATTTGGAACAAAGCATACATTCCGACCATTAGTCATCAACAAGTCGTCGCAAGGTTGATTTGGTATTATAATAAGCACCAAAGTGTAAAAAAATTACGCGGCAACTCAAAAAAACAGGTGTTCTACTTTCATGTAAGTGTATTGTAAATCAAGAGAATTATGCAAAAGCATAACAAAAGTGCCTGCTGCTGAAGAAATGTTTTTAAAAGACCAGCGAGATGATCGCAAAATATATATTGGTTCTGTGGATATGATGACATGATCTATCCAACGTAGGGAAGCAAGGAAACGAAATTATGACGATTTTATGAAATGAGATGGATTTATTCGAACCAGAATAAAAGCCATACAAGATATACAATTTTTCTACACCAAATTTCGGTAAAAAAAAGGTGCGGAGACTTTGGAATTACGACATTAGAACAATTGTTTTTATTTTGATTTAATAATAACTATCAAATGTACTAGTAATTTTAAGTAAGAATATAAAATATATAGAACCATTGTGTAAAAAAAAGTTCCGTCAGTGAATCAAAAGTTGATTTTTTTAAAGTTCAAACCAAATGTGCCACCTGAAAATTTTGCGCAAACACATCTTAGACAATGGGTCATTGATTGGCAGTACAGGAATATTAAAATTTAAAAAATTTTTTTTTAACTCCACCTTAATGTACATAGATATAATGTTGTTAGTCAATACAGGACTGCAGTTAAAGTTAACTCTGAGTTAAAGCGTAATCACGTAATATATGAATTTAATTGCCCCTTTGACGGCTGTGCACGTCAACATGACTCGTATATCGGGATTACTACTACCTCACTGACTAGAAGGCTTACGATGCATAAACAGAGTGGTGCTATCAAATCTCATTTGGACTCAACACACTCAATCACAATTAGCCGTGAAATCCTCGACAGCAACACCAAAGTAATATACCAGAACAGCAACTACACGCATCTTAAAATTGCAGAAGCAGTCCTAATTGACATCAATAAACCAAAAATAAATATACAACAAAAAATGACAACCTCACTTCCAACCCGGCGCTTAACCAACAACGAAAACAAAAAAGTAATAAAAACTAGCATCGTAAATAGTGACAAAGAAGAATATGATGCTATCGATGAAGGAAAGGAGACCAAAGAAGATGACCAGCCAATTAAGAAATCTGATACCTAATTCGCATCAAAGTTATATATATACAGCCAATTAAGAAACCTGACACCTAATTCGCATCAAAGTTCAATTTTAAACACCAAAGTTAATTTTTACAACGTCAAAGTTCATCTTGACAAAGTCAATATTTCCCTATATATACAGCAAGGAGCACTGATGATGATTCATTCGGAATCGAAATATGGCCTTATTTGCAGCATGAAAAATAAGTTTATTTTGAATTTTAATAAACTAAACGTTCACCAAACAACTTTAGTGAGAAAAATCGAAAAAACGAACTACAAATATATTAACGCCAAACATTCGGTAGAATTTATAGAATATAGTAAAAATTAGGTCTATTACCAACATATATATATATATATATATATATATATATATATATATGCATATATTATATATATCACCATTATTATTATCAAATGTTTATTGAAATTTTAGACCGATATCACATTTGTCCTTTTTGTTTAAAATCAATCTATAACTTTTTCTTCTTTTTCTGCAGTTTTACAGCGATTTTGCACGGATAAACTCTCGTTACGCCTATGGCCTTAGTTGTGAATCTTTTGAAAAGCGGGGCAATTAGATGTTGTTGACAATTTTTATTTGCGTGAGGTAGTCAGTATTTGGTTAGGTAAAAAAAAGGCTACAACTGAATCAAATGAATACTAGTTTTCAAATTCCTTATAATTTTACATACGAGCTAACCCAGCGTACTTCGTAACGCTTTAGAAATAATAGGTGTTAATAGAAGCAGAATGCCGTAGTCATGGATGTATATATATATCCATGGTCGTAGTCGGAGATTTTGGCCGGAGTCTGAACTTCTTGAGGAGCCGAAATTATAAATATTTTGAGGGGCCGAAGTCAGAATTTTTTGAGTCGCCAGAGTAGGAGTCGTATTTTTTCATCTGGCTCGGACGACCACGGATAAGGATATAGGAAGAATACATATACCTAATGGCTGAACGTCATTCGAGAGTAATGGAGCTGACCGACGTTTTACAACAGGAAGTCGTCAATCTAATTTCAGATCATCCCACATTAGATCTTTGTTGAGAAATTTTTAATTTTCCCCCCATTTGATCGAATTTAATTAATCTTTATTAATGGAAAAATTTTAAATAAAAGGGAGGCCGGTCTTACAGATTGAGAAACCCTTGTAGTCATCACTGTAAGTTAATTTCGATCGGTCGTAAAGTTTACGGTTGGAAATTTAAAAAAAATTACAAGTCAGACAATCTGTACAGTTCGGTAATATTGATTATATCTAAGACTCAACGCACATAAGAAACGAAGTTGCAAAAAATACTGCTGGCGCAACCGCGAATCATTCAAAGCGTTAAATAAAAAAAACGAACTATTTTCGAAAGTTTTTGGAATCAATGAATCTCGTTAGAATAAGCCTTAAAATGGCGATTATTAATAAATCAATTAACCCGTCAGTCAATTAGATTTTTAAAGCCTCGATAAATGAAACGTAATAAAAATAAAATAATCAAAAAATAATTCAATGACAATAAAAATAATAATAATAATAATTAGCCATTTATTGTTCATTGAAATTCATAAAACTGAAGTAAAAAGTTCATTTAAAAAATTACTTCCAATCAATAAAAACAAAATTTATTTCAAGTTAAAAAGAACACCATCTAGTTTTAATCCATTAAGCTACTGACTGTTTTCTGTAAATGTCAAATTATAGGTAACTTTTATCAATAAATTTATTAACTTCATAAAAATTATGGTTCAGCAATTAAAATATTTTACTCGAAAATAAGCCTTGTAACTCACAGCTATTTAAATAATTAAATCATTAACATTTTTTCTAAAACTTAACACTTTCTAACTACAAGACCTTTTCATAATGACCTGCATAAACTCGAGTATTGTTCCAGCTCTCAAAAGAGCTCAACAAATTTTGTCAGCTGGAAAATTAAAAATAAGTCCAAATCTATTTATTATAGAAAAAAAGAAAACACAGCAGAAAATTTGTTGTTTGAAATTGTTCTTTCATCAATTTGGCAACAGAAGCTTTAAACGCTTTTTCGTTAGAATAAGTTTATACATAAACTCAAAGATTTTCATTTATATTCTTCCATTGTTCAACCTAGTATCTTGAATCTTTTTGTCCTTTCACATTGGTTAAACTATCGATGAACCATACACGGCAAATCAGTTGTAACTCGACACAGTAATGATTTTTAAATCTTCAATTCTGCGTGAATTATTTATTCACTTTTGACTTATTTTAAGCATATTTTTTACGTTTCATTTTCCATTTTATCTTTCTGCACATAATATATTCTGGCATATCACAGTCATGGTTAACTAATAGACCACAAAAGTGTCACAACTTCCATTTGATACATCAAGCCCAAAAGGTAAACATTCGGTAAACATTCTTGCAAATGCCATTATACTACTTTAAGACAAAGATAATGAAAAAAAAATAAACAGGAAAATGTTACAAACCATCGGCACTTCCGCTTTCCTGTCCCAAGTTGTAGGCATGCCTGCTCACTGTTAAGTCCTGATCTTCAGCTAACTTTAACCCCTGAATAACATATTTTAATGACATTAAAAAAAAATTAAAAAAAAAACGAAGTGAATTTGGAATTCTGACTATACATCTCATTAACTCTTAATTGCTTGTCAACTTAATCTCTCCGGTTCTAACAACTGTTTATTAACTGTGTATACAAACAAGAGCCAACATATTCCATAATAAAAATTTTTAAACTTAACTTTCTCTTTTACAAAACACTTTGAAAATTAACTCAATTATGAAGTTAATTACATAATTTTTGAGCTACAAAATAAAATATTTTCTGATAAAAATCAGAAAATCAATAAATTTTAACAATCTTACTTCATTAAATAGCTGGCAGAATAGTTCGAGTGAAACACTGGAACTAAATGTGACATTAAAAGTTTTCATAACGGGATCATCAGTTGCAAAATCCAGAGCAGTCCAGGAGCAAGAATGATTACGTTTCTCTTCACATTTCCTTATTTGATTTTTACATTTCATTGATAACAATTAAATCATATTACTGTATTAATAGCCAATGAATATTGAATAAAATGTTTTGTCAAACAACTGGTTAACTGAAGATTAGGTAAGAAATAACGAACTTCAGTATGAAGAGTAAATATTTGATGTTCTAGGTTGTATTATAAATAACAATTTTCATAAATTCGATGATGTTTTATGAAATACACATACATAATAGATAAAAGACTAACTTTGACTACACTCGAGTTGAAAATTCGATGTATATTTTTAAAATATGAAAAGTAAAGCTAGCTATGAAGCATGGAATGCTCATACCCAGTAGTGGATCTAGACAACTTTGACGGCGTGGCCAAGATTTTTAAAAAATATTTGGCAACCGGGAGATTTAAAAAAAATTAGTTGATAACCGAGGGTGATAAACAAATTTTTTTTTTTTTACAAAATTAAACTTTTTCCCTTAAAAAAACTACCTTTTTCTTTAAAACAACGACTTTTACTAACTTTTAACATAAATATCGCTCACAACGGGCCAGTGCGCCTCCGCCTAAATCCGTTACTGCTCATAGCCACCCAAAAAAATGTTGAAGTTTTTCAATGGGAACAATACTGAATGCAACACAATATATATAATAGAACAAAAAAGTTTACGTCGATACCAACTTGGTCAATTTATATCCTTTGCAGATAATGTGATTGCAGACCTCTTCACGATCATCTGTCACCATTTTTATGCGATACCCACTAACATCATGGTCTTCCGTAACGATTACATTGACAAGGCCCACTGTTTGCTGTTTTAAAGAAATTTATTTTAATTTTTAACAAACAAAACATAACAAAAACTTTTGACTTTCATCATCACATTTCATCTAATAACAGGGCTATGGTATCTGCGTTTCATAAAAACAAACTTTGGGGCACATTTTTGCTTTCTGTAATTTTTATTTCGTTTTTTGTTATAGCAAAAACTCAAACTCTGGCACCATGCAATTATAAATTTATTAGCAACAAAGTATGAAAAGTAATGAAAAAGTTAAAATAATAAGGGGTCATTCGAGCATTATGTAACGCTTTAGGGTAAGGCTTTAAGACAGTGCTACAAGCAAAGAGGGATAGCGACTTTGGTGTCAGCTGTATCTTATTTTGTATTTTTTGTTTAAAACTTTGTTTTTTTCAGTTAAATTCAATAACTATGGCTGGAAAAAGTAAAGCTGCCAAAAAATCTACTACAAAGTGACAAAGAATCGGTAATAGCTGAATTCATTCACCATGGAGCTTCTTTCTCCGCTGGTTTGGCAGAAAAATTTTTAGGGTCAGTAAATTTGTTTGCGTTTGCATTTTAATAGCTCATTGACAGATCTCGCCAGTGTCTACTTCTGTCTTGTAGACAGATCTCGCCAGTGTCTTCGATGATTTTAAAAATTTTAGGGTCAGTAAATTTGTTTGCGTTTGCATTTTAATAGCTCATTGACAGATCTCGCCAGTGTCTACTTCTGTCTTGTAGACAGATCTCGCCAGTGTCTTCGATGATGGATTTACATGTCAAGTTACCGACTAGAGAATATAACCAACAGCTTCATATGATGAGACTAATTAAATATTTGCACACTGAAATCTCTTCTGGTTTCTAAGTTGCAGTAGATTCAAAATCAAGTCACGGAAATTGTTGTTGGAGGCATGAAATTGAATCACAACACTGATACTTCAAGATCTTCACTGGCTCTAATCAACAAAAGAATAATTAATAAAATCGCTGTCATCATGTTCAAAGTGTTAAAAGAACTTACACCAGAATATCTGACTAAGCATAATGCAGAGATCTCACTTGTTTAAAAATTTTGTTTGAATACTGATACTTTTAAAAAGTTCTAACAAACACTCAATTAATATTAATTTCTACCAAGCATTTTGAAATAAGATTTTTAATCATTTTAGAAAAAAAACTAGTATAAAGATCTAAAAAGAATAATTTTGTTAAAATTAAAACTTTTTATAGAATAAAATATATAAACATTTCTAACAAAACTTGTATTTATTTGGAAGAAACATTTTACATGTAACAGGAGCTCATTAGTTTCTTACAAGGAAACGAGGGAGGGAAAAACTATTCTCATGTCACCCAATATTTGAATGGCCCCTATCGTCCCAACCAGGGTCTTCCCGATCAAACAGTGTCACACTAATAAATCAGCACGCCATTCATTTGAATCATCAACATCATCGCCATCATCATGTACGTTTATAGGCGCTCAAACCTGCTATTTTTTTAATCCAATTGGTAATGTATCGATATATAAACCCTATAACCATCATCAGCCGACACTAAGAAGCACAAATGAAGTATTATATTGACATGCTTACAACATCGACATCCTTGTAGCTCAAAGTGGCTCTGTTGTTGAAAAGAACGTCCTTCTCATCGTCATAATCATCATCGTTTTCGTTATCCTTACCATCATCAACCCAATTTTTGATGTTTTCATTATATTGTTCGTTTTTCTTTTCTACATTTTCGGACTTTTTTGGAACATCTGAAAAATTTATGAAAAAAATAACGACTATGAAATGATAAATTAAAAACTTGTGTAACTTCTTTTGAATAATTCCCTCAGAGATATCAATAACACACGTGAATCAACGCATCACACAAATTGCATGTTATGGATAAAGATCTCTTTGCATCTAAGCTGCATTATCTCCCAGCATTTAATATTTGTTTTGAGACAACATGGTGATATAAAATCATGGAAAGTTTTATTATTAAAGATATAAAAGTAATGTATAATACCATAAAAATCTGCACTTTATTAATTAGAAAAAACGCCTTTCTACAACCAGGTTTTGCTGTTTAACTGTTCAATTAAACAAATTATAAAGTAAAATAAACCTTTTTGACAATTTTCAACAACTTCTTTGAACTCTCTCGCTACATCTGCTGTCTTAAAATTTAAATAATTTTAATACTTTTAAAAAATTACACATTGATTTTCAAAAATAGAATAAAATAAATAAATTCCATAGATCATAAAATCATCTCTGATAAAATTAAATTTACAATTGTTTAAAGTTGATGCAAACAATCTTCAGTTGAATTACAACTGCAAAAAGGATCGTTTCCAAATTTGATGGTAGGCTGTTATGGACTTAGAGATTTTACAGAAAAAACTATTCTAATTTGCTAGATTTTTTAATTTTTTATTATACAATTTTTGCAATCTGCTCGTTTTTTTAACATAGTTTTATATTAAACTTCTTATGCCAGCAAGGCTGCAACTTTCTTATCAAACACTAAAAACTGACTTTTATTTTTATTGATAAAGCAAGAAAAAATAAATGATAGAAAATCACAAATGCATAATAATTAGGTCAACTGGTTGGCAGCACACGGCACTCACACTAATGCTCAAATGTCATTTTTAAAATGAATGACAAGATAAGGAAACTGAAATGTAACAACTTTAAAGATAACACAACATCAACAAGCAAATAATATGTAACGAATCAAATTTCTAGATACGGCTAGTGAAAAACAACACAAGTTAAAAACAACTTTACCTTGAATCTGATAGCAAAATGCTCCATTTTAACTTCTCCGTCAGAAAAATCATTGGCAAACCAACACCAGGCTTTCTCTGACGTTTGCATTGGCTTTAGTTTTATGTCCGGCGTGAGCAGGTGGTTGCAGACGACTTTGTGAATTTGATCTCTTCTAAACAACAAACGGTAGACACCTGTTGAAATATTTTAAATTAAAAAACAAAAGGACAATAGAAAAAAGAAACAAAATTACGACCGTTGGTTTTATTTTTGAGTATTTTCATATCACCAACTCCTCGCTCTTTCCACTGATTGTCATCAAACCTGTACAGCACGCTCCTCTGCTTATGAACTTCTGTTTCATCTTCTTCTCCTGTTTGCAAACGTGCCAATGAAAGAATGTAAAATAACAATTAATTGTATGGGGGAAAAAGAGAAAGAAAAAAGAAGAGAAAGAGAGAGCATAGTTAGAATTATTTGAGGAATTTGAATTTTTTTTAGCAAACTGAAAAACTTTTCAAAACTGTAAATTTTGTTCTTTTGACCGCAAACAACTTAATGTAACACATGAAAGATACCTAGTGACAATCTGACGAACGACCAATAATTTTTCTTTGAAAATGTTTACATTTCTATTTTTTAATAAGAGGATTGAAACTGTTATCAGATACCTATCTTATACTTACTTACATTTGCTATAGTAGCTATACTGGATGATAATTAGTATTTAAAGGTTGAAAATCATGCAAGTTTCAGGGATAGAGAGATGAAAGGTTAGATAATCAGTTCAAAACAGTGTCACGGTGCAGGGAGATGACTGTGACTGCCATTCAAAACCAGCAGACAGAACATCCAAAAAATTTTTAAAAAATATTATTTTTATTACCTGTTTTTAAATCAACTAATTCAGGTAATTGAACAATGGGCTCGAAATGAATATCATCGGCTTGTGATGGCTCCACTTCACCATCCTCATTATCATCTGTTCGTAACATGCAATATAAATAACTGAATGGTTATAATTTATGAATTATTAGGAAAATTATACATAAAAACACACACACACATACACTCATATAGAATTATTAATGTCTTTAGCCAATTTTTGTAACTAAAAGGTAACTGTAAGTTTCCGATTAACTTAATAAAGACCTAGCCGAAAACAATGAAAAGCATGAAAAAATTATAAACATTACACAAATGATTAACTACTGTTTCAAAATTGAACTCATCATATTTCTGCTAAAGTTGTATTTTATTTTGTATCTATTTATCACCTTATCTATCTGGATGCTTTGCAATGGTTTATGGCCCAAAATTAGAAATTAGGCAAACAAATCATCAATCAAGTAAATTCCTATTTCAAAATGATGTCAAAGGTTTTGTTTAGCATATGAAAATATAAATGCATCAAATCATAATTTTAAATCAAGCAGCTAAAATATAAATTCATGAAAATGAGTCTCATGAAAATTTACTTACAATTTTTTGATTTTAATTTAAACAAAATAATTATTTCCTAAAATATTTAATTATCACCTCAAGACTTATAAATGACAAGAAACAACTTATCTATTGAAAAAAATTATTAGCTGTTGGGGCCCAGGGATCATTAGAAACAGATTAAAAAATAGATATAAAAGAAAACATTGAAAATAATTAAAATTTGAAACCTGATTTCACTGGAATGGTTTTATCACTAGAGCCACTGAAGAGTTTTTCACCAGTCCCCGTCCATGAAAATGAAGAATCTGTCAAAAGAAATTTGCAAATGCATTTCAACAGAAATTTGTGACCTTTAAATTTTTGCGAAAATATAATCTAACAAACAACCTGTTTTAAATGCATCTGTTTTAGGAACCAAACTAGAGAAATCAATAATTGCAGTTGCTGCAGACCCAAATATAGAATTTGTTGGAGGATGTTGATTTGTATCTTTTGATAGAGATGATGCATTTATAGAAGTTGATCCAAAAATTGTCGGTGCCACAGATGTTTTTGAACCTGGTGGTCCTGTCACTATTGATGACGATATAGTTACAGCACCAAATACTTTTAAACCATCTAAATCAAGAAACAGAGCCGTCAACAGCAAAAACAATAAAACATATGCAAAACATACTGACCATTTGCAGAAGTTGATCCAAAAATTGATGGTGCCACAGATGTTTTTGAACCTGGTGGTCCTGTCACTATTGATGATGATGTAGTTACAGCACCAAATACTTTTAAACCATCTAAATCAAGAAACAGAGCCGTCAACAGCAAATACAATAAAAAATATGCAAAACATACTGACCATTTGCAGAAGTTAATCCAAAAATTGATGGTGCCACAGATGTTTTTGAACCTGGTGGTCCTGTCACTATTGATGATGATGTAGTTACAGCACCAAATACTTTTAAACCATCTAAATCAAGAAACAGAGCCGTCAACCGCAAATACAATAAAAAATATGCAAAACATACTGACCATTTGCAGAAGTTGATCCAAAAATTGATGGTGCCACAGATGTTTTTGAACCTGGTGGTCCTGTCACTATTGATGATGATGTAGTTACAGCACCAAATACTTTTAAACCATCTAAATCAAGAAACAGAGCCGTCAACAGCAAATACAATAAAACATATGCAAAACATACTGACCATTTGCAGAAGTTGATCCAAAAATTGACGGTGCCACAGATGTTTTTGAACCTGGTGGTCCTATCACTATTGATGACGATGTAGTTACAGCACCAAATACTTTTAAACCATCTAAATAGAAAATAGAACCCATCAAAAGCAAAGATAATAACAAATACATAAAAAACACACTGACCATTTGCAGAAGTTGATCCAAAAATTGATGGTGCCACAGAACTTTTTAAACTTGGTGGTCCTGTCACTATTGATGACAATGTAGTTAAAGCACCAAATACTTCTAAACCCTCTAAATAAAAAAAAAATAGAGCCGTCAAAAAAATATAATAGAATGTACAAACAAAGCATACTGACCATTGAATGTAAGCGCCTTCCCAAATATTGGATCATTTGACGTTAATTTGGAAGAGCTGCTGCTAAGTGACGTTTGAGGTGCAAACAAGCTGAACGTTGAAGACACATTTGTTGTAAATGAAAACAGATTGGATGTTTTGCTATCTGCAGTTGTCACTTTATTTGTTGAAGTTTGTTGATCAGAAATCAGTCTGGAAGGCGTCAATGAGAAATCAGGCGTTGCTACTGGTGACGAGGATATCTTTGACGACAGTGCTGAAGAAGCACCAATATTAGATGTAGATGGCAACACTGAAACAGAATTCAAGCAATGAGTGGTTTGTGTCTTCAAAAGATAAGATTCTAAAAGCCAAAATTGTATCACAACGTAAAATTTCAAATCAGGATATGATCATAAAACTATAACTTAATTTTTTGTACTTATAAAGAGCATTAATATGAACTAAACGAAAACACAAACGAGTATAACTAACAATAAGATAAATATTTAACAGAAGTGCAGGAAATATAAACATGAGTTTCAATTAGAATGAGCCTTTTTAAATAATCAACCTTATTGTAGAACATTGAAACCTATTGGTGCCAAAACTTAAAACTCTACACACTCAAATTTATCACTAAAACTTTAATTCAACTCAAAATTTGATATAAAAAATAAGATTTAAAAACTTAATTAAATTAATTAATTAAATTCGCTTTTACATCAACAAAAACAATTACTATGGTAATGAAAATTAGAATGAAAAGACTTGGGCAAATTGAGAAATGTAAAGTTTAAAAATGTGACACAATTTTTGAAAACATTTGAACTTTGATTACCGCTTGTTTTATCAATGGTGTCAAAATCAAATTCATCACTATTGCAGCCAACACATCCTGGACATTGAGGTGCTTTCAAATAGTTGAAAAAACTTGGAGGTAACATGAAATTCGTGGAGAGGTTTCTCAAGTCGTTTGATGGCATTTCAGTGTGTGTGATCCGGCAATCATCTATCATTATATTTTGCAGAATAGTAAATAAGCAATAAAATAGTAATGACTCTAAATAGAATTAATTATATTCATCCTTCTTACCATCGGTTTTATCGAAGGATGGTGCATTTTTGCAATTTTTCAATGAATCAATGACCGTTTCAATGCATTGCTTGAAAGATAATGCCACTTCTTCAGTCTTGAATTTGATACAAAACTTTTCATGTGTTACATCCCCATCAGCAAAATCATCAGCATGCCAAACGAATGCTTTGTTGTTTGAATTCGGCATCAGAATCAGTTCCATTTGGGAACTAATCCAATGGTTGCAACATATTTTCAATATTTTCTCACGACGCATAATCAATCTAAACTTTGTTTCACATTTTTTCAAGAGCTTTACCTCTCCGACACCTCTTTCTTTCCATTCATTCTGGCAAAATCTATAAAGCTTAGCTTTTTCAGCAAAGATAACTGTTTCATCTTCTTCGCCTGTTTTAACTTGAAAATTATCAGGCAATGAAACAACTGGTTCAAAGTATATATGATCGTCATCTCCATCAACATTTTTGTATAATTCTCCAGCTTCTGGTGATTGTGGAGATTGCGGACTGGCGCAAATGTTTTTTACATTTTTGCTTGCATCATTTTCTTCAGTTTTCTTAGAAACAACTCCACCAAAACTAAATGTGGGAGTTCCAAAACTAAAATTACTTGTACTAATATTTGGTTTAGCAGAAGCTTCAAAATTAGTTTCGACTTTTGAAAAGCTTGAAATTTTATCAAAATGTGATGATTTTGGTTGGTCGTCATTTTTGTCAAAGGTATAAATTAGTTTTGTAGAAGTTGGCAAGCTTATAACTCTTGTTGGTTGTACAGCAGAAATCTGTGATTCATTGTCTGACGTTTCTTTAATTTTTCCAGAAGCATTAAAAGCCATTGTATTGAAAAGAATGGTAGACGTAGATGCAACAGATGTGGTAGTGATTATATTATCACTTTTTGCACATTCCTTTGTCCCAAAACCAGAAAAATTAATGTTGAATCCTGTTGGAACAGCAAAACCACCACCATCAACACTACTACCAAACGAAACAGGGTGACTTTTATTTTCAAATCCTGAATTGAAACCTGAAGACACAAGCATATTGCCAAAAGTAAACCCACCTTGAGGACCTAATTTGACTGCTGGACGGTTTGAACCTGAACTATTTTCACTTGTATTTGACTGAGATGAACCTGAAGATGTTGGATGAGAATTAGGTTTGATGGCTGTACATGACAGACAACTCTTTTCAAGAGGCGGATTTTTAACATAACAAACAGAGCATGACCACTCTCCCTCTTTGGGTTTAAATAGCTCTGATAGCTTCATTTGTGATGAAGAAACAGGGGGTTGTACATTTTTTGGAGCATCTGCATCAGTGCTTTTGCCTTCAGCTTTCGGTTGTTCACAAGCTAAACACTTGAGCGTGTCCTTTGTATTCTTTACATAGCAGCTATTACAAATCCATTCATCATGCGAAAGTTTGAATAAACTTGATAAAGGTTTTGTTTCCAAATTTTTTGACTTTTCAGGTGAAAAACTATTGCCTTTGCTATCTTCTTTTTTAGTCATCATGCTAAATTCATTCAATCGTTTTTGACAAGAAGTGAAACATTCTTTAAACTTGGTAGCCTGTTCTTTAGTTTTGAATCTAATGCAGAACTTTTCCTCTTTCATTTCTTCATCGGCAAAATCTTTAGCCAACCAACAAAAAGAATTTTCAGATGATTGCAATTCGACAAGATTCATGCCTGGCGTTATATAATGATTAGCGCACACCTTTAGCACCTGTTCTCTGCGCATCAAAACCCTAAATTTATTATTCAGATCATTTGACAACAATTTAATTTCGCCAACTCCTCTTTCTTTCCATTGTTTAGATGCGACATCCATTCTATATAATTTGGCTCTTTCTCCAAACAATTTAGTATCATTCTCTTCTCCTGTCACAACATTTACTATAGGGAGAGACACCAAGGGTTTGAAGTCTCCAACCGGTTCAAATTCTTCTACTGCTTCTTCTTCTATGTCTCTTGTAGATTTGTCAATAAGAGATGCTTTTGAATCTGTATTAATTTCACTTACCTTAACCAGCGGAGTTGGAAGGATAAATGATACAGAGCTGTTACCTGAGGTGGTGGGAATCATAGAAGTTGAAGCAAAAGTAAAATTTTCAAAAATATTTTTAGGAGCAGATTTCTTGATTTCTTGTTGAACTTTTGAACCATCTTTAATATCAATCACAGGTTTAACGACTGGAGTTTTGTTAAATGACAAGCCTCCAAATACTGTAGAAGTGCTTGCAACTAATTTAGAATTCTCAACTGATGTATGAACAGTGGTTTTATTAGTTAGATTAAAAGCAGGTGCTGTGTGAGCTGATATGGGATTGCCAAACGCTAAGTTATTATATAAATTAGTATTTACTGATGTTTTTGCCAAACTTTGGATATTAGATTGAGCTGATGCTGACGTGTTCATATTTAATGAGACAGAAAAGGATGACACATTTTGGCTGACATGTAGTTCGTTAGAAGAGCCACCCGACGAATCTGATTTTAAAAGTTGAGCTAATGAAGAAACGGGACGGTTCGAATTTTGAGAAAATTGGGTGGATGACGGAGGGACATGAGTTATAGAATCAGAAGTTTTAGCTGAAGCATCTAAGTCAACAAACTTCTTCAAGTCATAAAATTGTTTTTGTTGAGAGAAAAACCCGGGTTCAATAGCTTTACACACTTCGGGCAAAATATTTGGTACTTGTTTGAAGCCATTGCTAGAAGAAACTGGTAACGTATTCTCAACCATGTAATCTAATTCTTCATAATGCTGTCTTTGTGGCATTTGGAATGATCCAAGCATTCCAGTTTGAGCATGAATCATTGGATTCAACATTGGCTGGTGATGGGATCCATTAGCTTGATTCATTCCATCTGGCAAATACATTTGATTTAATATCGGTTTACCAGTTTGTATGGAATGTGAAAATATCCCTGGCTGAGGAAAAGAAGATAACGAATGGGGAGGGAGGGGAGGAGGAGGAATCATAGTATTCGGCATTGGAAAAGGCATTGCAGGCATCCATGCATAGCTCTGAGATTCAAGCACCTGAAGTTTTGTTTCTAGTCTGATAACTCGTTCCTATGAAAAATTGTATGAAAAAATAAAATTATGATTTAGCCATACTTTAATGTTAATATTTTATCAATGAATAAAGTTTTGAATAATTAGGTACAAACCAGTAATTTTTGATTGTCTTCAACAACACTCCTGAATCTCTGATCCATAAAATGGGTCAATGTTTCCAATCGAAATTCAAATTTGTCAAGATTGGATTCAGAAATTTTGTTTCCCTGTAAATTGTTCAAACATCTAATTCCATGAGTATAAAATAATAAAGCAATTAATTGTAACTTAAGAACTTTTACACATTAAATAATTTAATATTATCAATTCAGATTTAAACATATCATACCAAATTGGTTTTCTGAGATGTTTTATTAAAGGGCGTACTAGCAACGAATGAAAAATCCTTTTCTGGTGACAAGTTACAATTGGATTTGGTAGATAATATTTTGATATTCTTCTGAGGGCTGCAACTAGCTTTTGAATTCTGAGATAGATTTTTTTCAGTTTCAATGTTCTCAATGCTGTTTTCATTTTCTATGTCAACTGACTCTGAAATCATAAAGTTATAAAAATATAAGACATTTTTTAACACAGAAAAAAATAATATCATATATCTATTGGGATCTTACAAATTTAAAATTGCTGATAATGAGAAATTTTTTAAATCGCGGGACATAATTTAAACAAGAATATAAGCTGATAAATAAAAACATTCATTAACGAATAAATTATAGTAATATTAAGCATTTGAACTGGAGATCCACAAAGAGAATCAAATGAGTGATTCTCAAGTAATTAGTGATATGTTACTGCAAATGAAAAAAAATTATGATTTTCAAATAATCAGTAATATATTACCACAAGATAAAAGTTAAAAATTTACCTTCATATCTACGAAGCTGCTCAAGTTTGGCTTCTATTTCCTTAAGTTCTACAGAAACTTTCATCTCGAAGTTCTGAAGTTTTAATAAATTTAGTTATTATTATTCATCAATCGATCTATTAATGCAATGTTTTAAAATATTAAATTTAATTATTTAAATTTATGTACGTGCGTGTACATTATATATATATATATATGTGGGTGTGTGTATATATATATTGTTATATAGTGCTTTTAATTTTTCTGATGCTGTCCTTTAGTGGTTTAAATTGTATTTGGTGGGTCAAACGCAGCAGATTTTGTTGACGGGAGACATCTCTAAAATTACTCAAGGCTCAGTCCTTACGTTCTATATTGTCTTTTATTATATATGTCAGAGGTTCTTGAAAAGATCCAGTCGTATGGGTTTTTATCTCATGTCTTTGCCGATGACATTCAGATAATTGTTGCCAATAAACCAGAACTGATTCAGGCAGAATTGGATAAGTTTGTTGATTGTCTATCAAAGATTAATTTATGGATTCTGAGCAGTGGTTTGCGGCAAAAATTCTCAACAACAACACACGTTTAGACGACATTTTCCCCGAGATCGGGGGTTGCCGTTTGGCTACCTATGATGAAACCGAAATACACCTCGACACCATTCACATCTGTCACTCGCCTCATTATCCCGCAACCCGCTTTCACTCTGTCCTTCTCCACCTGCTCTCTCCATCCCAATCGCGGACGACCCCTTCCTATCACTCCTTCAACCTCGAACTCCAACCCTCGCCTAATCCCGACCCTTTCATCCCTTCTCAACACATGTCCATACCACCGCAATCTCGACCTCCTTATCAATGTCACAATGTCCTCATTCAGTCCCATCATCGACATCAGCTCTGTACCACTCCTCCTATCCTTCAATTTAACCCCACACATCATCCTCACCATAGCTCTTTCAGCCCTCTGCAGTACACTTTCCTCCTCTCTTCTCAACACCCAAGTTTCACAACCATATACCATCGCTGCTCTCACACATGCTTTATATACCCTCCCTTTCATCTTCATTGACCATTTCTTTCCACACATTACTCCACCCAGTTCCCTAAATTTCCTCCATCCCACACGAACTCTAGCCGTAACAGCGCTCAAACATCCTCCATCCGCGTTCAGCTTAACCCCTAAATAAACAAAGCTTTCCACTCTTTCAATACCACCACTCAACCCCGTCCTTGAGTCCGTCCTATTATATTAATCACACCATGAACACACTTCTTACATTTGAACGTGCCTTCCACTTTTTTCAGTGCCCCCCTCACTACATCTTAGGCACCCACTTCTGACATCCTATACACAATACCGAGTTAGCCTTCACTCTCCTGTCACATACCCCACAGGGGTCTATTTTACTTATCACTCGCTCCTCACCTTACCCACTCACCATTACCTTCGTTTTACCAATATTAACTTTTAACACTTTCTATCTGTCAAATTTTAACAGCAATTCTTCCATGCTATCAGCCATCAAGACTAAATCATCTGCATACAAAATCTCAAATAACAACCCATCCATTATGTTTCCACACACAACATCCATCACAATTGCAAACAAAAACGGTGATAACACTGATCTTTGATGCACTCCTACCCTAACACTAAAAGCGTCCGACATTCCCCTTCCGACCCTCACCTTTGTCTTCGCCCCTTCATACAGCTGCATCACAGCTTTAACAAGTCTCTCATTCACTCCTTTCTAAGTCAACGCCCATTCAATGACCTTCCTCTGTGGTACTCGATCAAAAGCCTTTTCTAGATCCACAAAACACATGTACAATTTTCGTTTCTTCTTTCTATAATTCTCACTATCGAAAACAAATGCAATCATTCTGAAAAATAGTCCCATAAAATTTATTCAAAAAGCTATCGATCTTGGCCTAAAAATTATCATAGAGGCATCACATCAAAGTGCTTGCATCAAATCAGAAAGCTCAGGTCATTGGATATCATTCCAATACAGACATTGTCTTATGCGTTTGTGCACTCCAGACTCGATTTACTGCAACAGTCTGTTTAATGAACTACCTGATAGGTCTGATGCAGTGTTACAATCTATAGAACTTGGATAATGATGAGTACAAGTGAAATCACAAAACACGTCGATCTACCACACATTAGTGAACTACTGATATTTGTGCCAATAATGGAAAATATAATTTTCCAACTGATTGCAAGTGAACAAACCTCATCTACCACCACATCACTTTCATCCTTTTCAAAGCAGGCAACTGCATCATTAAGAGCATGTTTGGCCTTAGTCAACAAATTGATTTTTGTATAAAGCCAGTCTTCAGCCATTGTGTCATCCAATGATGCGTTATTTTCAATATCATATCCCGACATTTCCTTGTAAGCCTAAAAATGTATGTTCATTGTAAACAGTTAAGTAAAATGCAGACTGACAAAAATAGATCATAATTTTCCTGACATAAACCGTCATTGTGTAAAATAATTATATAAATATAAAATGGAAAGCCAAAAAAGTTAGCTAATTTATTTATTGTATTGATCTAAACAAAAAAAATTCTCAATTAGAATTATCTATTTGCATTTAAAAACCCAATATTTCTACATTTGAACTTTATAAGCTACAAAGTTTTTATGTCTTGACTATGACTATGTACAATGGTTACAGCAAGAAATGGAGCAACAACGAAAGACAGTCAGATAGTGGGAATTACTAGGTCACTTAACAATCGCTGTACAAACTATTCTAATAAGTTAATAACCATCAAATCAAAACAGACCTGAGCCAATTCATAAAAAGCTTTAGAATTTTTAATTCTGCTCAAGATTTTGACAGTTCCCTCTAAATCACCATTGCTCTTTAGTTGCAAAGCTTGAAAGAATCTGCCTTCATCCAGGTACTTCTTGAGAACAATGTCTGAAGAAAACGTATTAACACGTCTGCTTTGAAACAAAGCATTCCGAATTGGAACAACTGACTGTTTGCTGAATATGTTAGAAAAACATGAATCACGAAATGAAAGAATATGCTGCCAAAAATTATTTAATGTACATTAAAAAACAGTTAAAAAATGTTCAAAACATTGAATCCAAGAAATCTGACTAAAAATGGTTAACATGTTCATTCTAA